GCAATTAAAATATATGTATATTAATGTTGGCAGAATATTTCCTAATTATTTCATTTCTAAATTATTATAATCATATGTGTTTCCTTGTGCTCAAGGTCAGTTTAAGAAATAAGGCATAGGAAACCAAAAGCAAAAATTCACTCTGACGAAGGAAATTCGACAAACTCTCTCTCTCTCTCTCTCTCTCTCTCTCTCTCTCTCTCTCTCTCTCTCTTCTCTCTCTCTCTCTCTCTCTCTCTCTCTCTCTCTCTCTCTCTCTCTTTACTGGATAAATCTGACAGAGAAGAACGAGTGAGTGAAGATCAGGTTTAATGAAATTTCCCTTCTAGTTGTTTGTGAAACTTTCGGAACCAGGGGCGTCATTTTAGATTTTTCTTGGGGGGGGGGGGAGGTTGGCGAATGAAGTGAGAACAATGAATATATATAGAGCGGGATAGATAGATGATAGATAGAAGATATATATAATATAATAGATAGAATATATAGATAGATATAAAATAAAAATGAGCTATTTCAGAATCCTTAATAAGCTAAGACCAGGGCTATAAAGATTTAATTTAGGCAAGCCAGACCTTGAGGGGGCAATCGTAGTCTTTAGGAGGGGGGGGGGGGAATTTGCCCTCACCCCCCCCCCAAATGACGCCCCCGTTCGCAACAAGTGCAAGCGCAGGTGGTTAGTTGTTTTGCTGCAGGTTGTGTAGGCCCATTATAAAAAAGAGAGAAAAAAACGCCTAGCTTGCCATTTTCTAGGTCACATGCTCAGAGAATATAGATGGAATGGGGCAGCTAGATGCATAACCAAACACAACAACAAAAAAAAAACGTTCGTAAAAATAATCTCATTAACAGATAATATCAAACAGACGTTTAGCTTTTATAGAAAGAAAATCAAAGAGAAAAGAAAATTAGTAAATATTTTAGGATACTTGAGGTCTACTTTCCCTTCAGGAGTCCAGAACCAAAAAGGAAAATAATGAAAGAAGCAAGAAAAGAAAGTAAGAAAAGAAAATCACAAACAGGTTTGAAAGGTACGAATCAAAACCGATAATGATGTATCATATGCTGTAAAATTTTTGAAAAATCTTGGGAGATTTATTACATAGAAGACAGAGGATAAGATAATGAATCACATAAAAAAGAAGAAAATATAATTAAACAATCCGAAATAACAGCAGAGAAATGAAAGAACGAAAATATATAACGAAAGAACCCTTTAGCTTATGATTTTCACGTAAAATCCATATAAAATTTATCAATTATTCATCAAACGCAAAATAGGTTCCGACAATAACCTTCCCTCTACATCATCGGCAAAATGGAAAATCGAAAGAAATTGGATATTGAAATTAAAAGGAAAAATAAATAACTGAAGAAAAACAAAATGTTGATGATTGCGTATATCGTTTTCTTTCTCTCTCTCTCTCTCTCTTTCTCTCGTTCTTTCTCTTTTTCTCTTTTTCTTTCTTTCTTTCTCTCTTTCACTGTCTATTTCTCTCTCTCTCTCTCTCTTTCTTTCTCTTTTCTCTTTCTCTTTCTCTTTCTCTTCTCTCTCTCTCGTTCTCTTTTTCTCTTTTTCTCTTTCTTTATCTCTCTTCCTCTCTTCTCTCTCTCTCTCTCTCTCTCTCACTCTTTCTCTTCCTCTCTCTTCCTCTTTCTTCTTCTTTCTCTCTCTCTCTCTCGCTCTCTCTTATCTCTCGTCTCTCTCTGCTCTCTCTCTCTTTCTCTCTCTCCTCTCTTCTCTCTCCTCCCCCTCCCTCTCTCTCTCTCCTTCTCGCCTCATCTCTCTCTCTCTCTCTTTCGTCTCTCCAGAAATTGACCTCCTCTCTCTCTCTCGCGCTTGTAAATTTCCTTTTTCTCCCAACAGATCACCTCCTCCTCTCCGTCGTCCTCCCTTCGCTTGGCCGCTCCTGGCCTTCCCCGGACGGCTGAACTCAAATTGTATATCCTTCCTCTGATTCTCTCCATCTTATTCCTTTCTCTCTCTCTCGATCTTTTCTAATCTCTCTCATCCTTATCTATCTCTTCCCCTCTGTCTGTCTTTCTCTATCGTTCTTCTCTCTATGAAGTATCCATCCTTTCATACATATATGCTCTATCTCTCCTCATTTTCTCTCCTCTAACTTCCTCTCCTCTCTAGATACTTCTTTTCTCTCGTCCTCTCTTCTCTCTCTCCTCTTTCTCGTTCTTATCATTGCCTCTCGCATTGTCCGGCGTCTATTCTAAATCTATCAGTATTCTCTATATATTACTATATATCTATTATATATATATATATATATATATAATGATATATATATATATACTATCTATTATTCTATTATTATATATATGTATATATTATGTGTGTGTGTATATAGATATGTATTATTATAGATATAGATATATCTATCTTAATATATATATATATATATATATATATTATATATATATATATATATATATATATATATATATGTATGATATGTATGATATAATATATATATATATATATATATATATA